GAACCACTTACTCCATAGGCACCACCTGGCAACTGCTTATTTACTGGGGAAGGAATGACTCTAAGCTGACAAAACAAGCTTCTCTTCCAGAAGACCATCCACCAAATGTACTGAAAGTCGAGTGCTTCAGAACCACTTCTGCAGTTCTTACTGAAATAGGACCAGGCTTGCTCCCCCAACCCCACCCCATTTCTTTCTTTATTTTTTCCCTTCTCCTCCTCCTTCTTCCTCTTCTTTTTCTTCTCCTCCTTCTCTTTTCTTTTCTTTTCTTTTCTTTTCTTTTCTTTTCTTTTCCTTCTTTTCTTTTTCTTTGAAATCAGCCTTATAGTATTTTTATATTCTCTTAATTTTTTTGGTGCCCTTTCCCTTTCTCTTTTTTTGGGATCTAGTCCCCCCTTTTCCAGGATTATTGCAACAAACAAATCAAAGCACACCTAGTTAAAAGTCCAAACACCACCCTCACTTCCCATTGCAGACAAGGAGGATCTCTACAGAGACCTGACCATTGGGAAGGAGCCAAAATGCAACAGCAGAATGAACATAGCATACACCAGAAATACTTCTTGAAGTGCCTGTCTTTGGACAGTGTATGACCCCTTTTTAATATAGCATTACTTTAAGGTGCAGGAAATATATCAACCTTTCAAAACACGCATGAGACAGAAACTTAGTCAAAATGACAAGACAGAAAAATTCTCCCCAAATATCAATAGGAAATCTCAGATAGGGTCTTGCTTAAAACAGATGTAAGCAATATATCTGAACAAGAATTCAGAACAATAGTCATAAGACTAGTAGCCGGGTTTGAAAATAGGATACAAGACACGATAGCAACCCTTGCTGCAGAGACGAAAAAACTAATTACTACTCAGGCTGAAATAAAAAATTGTTATAACTGCAATGCAAAACTAACTGTATACAGTCACAATGAGGACTGAAGGAGCAGAGGAGAGAATAGGTGATATAGAAGAAAAAATTATGGAAAATAGTGAAGCTGAAAAGAAGAGGGAAAGAAAACTTTTCGTCTCGAGGGGAGACTTGGAGAACTTAGTGATTGTATAAAACAAAACAATATCCATTTCATAGGAGTCCCAGAAGATGTCGTGGGAAAAAGGGCGGAAGGTTATTTGAGCAAATTATACCTGAGAACTTACCTACTTTTGGGAAAAAAAACAGGCATTCAAGTCCAAGAGGCACAGAAAACTCCCCTCAAAATCAACAAAAACAGGTCAACACCATGAGATACAGTGAAACTTGAAAAATACAAAGGTAAAGAGAGAATTCTGGAAGAAGCTAGGGACAAAGGTCCTTAACGTACAAGGATAGACACGTAAGTTTAGCAACAGACCCATCCACTGAAAGTTGGCACCCCAGAAGGTAGTGGCAGGAAATATTCAATGTGCTGAATGGGGAAAATATGCAGCCAAGAATTCTTCATCCATCAAAGCTGTCATTCAGAATAGGAGAGATAGAATTTCCCAGAGAAACAGAAACTAAAGGAGTTCCTGAACACCCATCCAGTCCAGTAAGAAACTTTAAGGAGGACTCTCTGAATGGAGGTAAAAAAAGATCAAAGCAGAAAGACTACAAACACCAGAGAACATCACCAGAAACACCAACTCTACAGGTAACACAATGGCACTAGATTCACACCTTTCAATACTTTGAATGTAAATGGACTAAATTCTCCTCCAATCAAAGTCATAGGGTGTCAGAATGGATTAAAAAACCAAAAATAAACAAAACAAAACAAAAAACAAGATTCATCTGTGTGTCACCTACAGGAGACTCATTTTAGACCTAAAGACACGTGCAGATTGAAAGCGGATGGAGAACCACCTATCATACTAATGGATTTTCTAAAGAAACCCAGAGTAGACATACTTATATCAGAAAAACTACATTTTAAAACAGATTGTATAACAAAAGATGAAGAAGGGCATTATATCATAATCAAGGGGTCTATCCATCGAGAAGATGTAACAATTGTAGATATCTATTCTCTCTCAGCTTGTGGCACCCAAATATATAAATCAATTTATAACAAATATGAGGAATAATTGGTAATAATTATTGATAACCATTGATAATAATACAATGATAGTAGGGGACTTTAATACTCCACTTACAACAATGGACAGATCATCTAAGCAGAAAATCAACAAGGAAGTAGTGGCTTTGAATGACACAGTGGACTGGATAGATTAACAGATATATTCAGTACATTTCATCCTAAAGCAGCATACATTCTTCTGTAGTACAAGTACTGTACTGTAGAAGTAATGTAGTACAAGTTCAACATTTTCCAGAATAGATTACATACTGGGTCACAAATCAGCACTCAACAGGTACAAAAGACTGAGATCATACCATGCATATTTTCAGATACAACTCTATGAAAGTTGAAGTCAACCACAGGAGAAAAATTGGAAAGCCCTGAAACATATGGAGGTTAAGGAACATCCTAGTAAAGAAAGAATGTGTTAACCAGGAATTAAAGAAGATGTAAAAAAAGACATGTATGCAAATGAAAGTGAAAACACAACAGTCCAAACCCTTTGGGATGCAGCAGAAGTAGTCCTAAGAGGAAGTATATTGCAATTCAAGGATATCTCAAGATGCAAGAAAGGTCCCAAATACACAATCCAACTTTACACCTGAAGGAGCTAGAAAAGGAACAGCAAATAAAGCCTAAAGCCAACAGAAGAAGGAAAATAATAAAAATTAGAGCAGAAACAAATGATACAGAAACAACAACAACAACAACAGTAGGACATATCAACAGAACTAAGAGCTGGTTCTTTGAAAGAATAAACAAAGTTGATAAACCCTTAGCTAGACTTTTAACAGTAGAAAGTCCCAAATAGATAAAGACATGAATTAAAGAGGAGATATCACAACCCACAGTACAGAAATTCAAACAATTATAAGAGAATACTATGAAATATTACATGCCAACAAACTGGACAATCTGGAAGAAATGGAAAAATTCCTAGAAACTCACAAACTACAAAAACTGAAACAAGAAAATATAGAAAATTTGAATAGACCAATAACCAACAAAGAAATTTAATCAGTTATCAAACATCCCCCAACAAACTAGAGTCCTGGGTCACATTGCTTCCCAGGGGAATTCTAGCAGACATTTACAGAAGAGATCAAACCTATTCTTCTCAAATTGTTCCAAAAAATAGAAATGGAAGGACAGCTTCCAAACTCATTACGTGAACCCATTATTGCCTTAATTTCAAAACCAGACAAAGACCTGACTAAAAAGGAGAATTATAGGCCAATATCTGTGATGCAACGGGATGCAAAAATTCTCAACAAGATACTAGCAAATCGAATTCAGCAGTACATTAAAAGAATTATTCACTGTGATCAAGTGGGATTTATTCCTGGGCTGCAGAGCTGGTTCAATATTCACAAATCAATCAGTGTGGTATACCACATTAATAAAGGAAAGATAAAAACCATATGATCCTGTCAGCAGATACAGAAAAAGCATTTGACAAAATACAGCATCTATTTTTTATAAAATCCCTCAACAAAGTAGGGTAGATGGAATATAGTGCAACATCATAAAGGCCATATATGTACGACCCACAGCTAATATCATCCTCAATGGGTAAAAACTGAGAGACTTTTCCCTAGCAGACCTGGGAACAAGGGAAGGTGGACATTTACTTCTAAGCTTCTTTTATCTTTGTAATTCTTTTACTGTGAAAAGGTATTACTTACAATTTTTAATGAGTTTTTATTTTATTTTTATTTATTTTATTTTATTTTATTTTTATTTTTATTACTTACAATTTTTAACTAGTTTTTTTCAATTTTTAATTTTGGTATAAAGCACAAACCATAAAATTTACCAGCTTATATATTTACATACAGTTCAGTATTATTAAATATATTCACATTGTTGCATAAAAAGATAACTATACTTATTGCTAATATTAGCAAGAATCATAGTCTCAAAACATACTCCCCTCAGCTCTTCTTATTACCTAAAATATCGCCTTTATAATAACTCATAGTTTTAAGACACTATCTCTCAAAAGGCACTGAAGAGTAATACAACATACCCAATTAGTGTGGTTTAAGTTGTTATAAAATCAAATTTTACTCACTTTTAAACATGGCTGGAAAATAATAACAAAAAGCGCAGAAACAGTTCGATAAAAAGATGAAAGTGAACACAAAGTGAGGATGGAAGATAATAGGACTTGGAGGCAGGATAGGAATTAAGTTCTGGAACACCAGCGGTGGTCAGGGTACCTGCAATGCAGATTTACTTTTCTTCTTATTTTCTACTCCCTCTACTTCTCCTGAAATCCAAATAGTATCATGAAATCAAAAATATGCCCATATGAAACCCAGGAGGATGATATTTCCAAATTATAGTAAAATTTAGTCAGAATATTGATGATAATAATCGCTTTAAATTTTAAAAATACATGTAAATATGTATACATTATTATGTTAAAATTAATAAATATTATTTTCATTTTATAGATAAGTTCAAAGGATTACCTACCAAGTTCCCATAAGCAATAAAATTTGGATGATACAGGCCTTAAAATTAGAAAACCTTAACGCTAGGGGCTCCTGGGTGGCTCACTTGGTTAAGCATCCAATTTTGGCTCACGTCATGATCTCACAGTTTATGAGTTTGAGCCCACAACAGGCTCTGTGCTGACAGTGTAAAGCCTGCTTCCTATCCTCTGTCCCCCTCCCTCTCTACTTCTCCCTAACCTCAACAATAAATAAAGAATGGAAGAAAGAAAGAGAGAAAGAAGTACTTAACTCTCATTCTGCCTCAGGCAAATGGTGAAACTGAGCCTCAGCAGTCTCTCACTGTAAAAAGTTGATAGCATCATTTTTTTCCTTTGCAGGGTTTTATGAAACCATGCATATGGAAGTGCAAGATTGCATGTAGAAATGTGTAACACAGTGCATGACATATTGCGCTTGTTCAGCAAATGCCAGTTTCTCTGACACTAAATTTCAGACTCCTGTTGCTCTCCCGTGGGAAGACATGCCATTACTGCATCATTTGTACCTGTAAGTTGAAAAAAAGAGCCCGTCCTCTTGCTTTCTCACCTAAATTCGGGACTTTCTCCTTTTCTCTGTTCATCCATCCATCCATCCATTCTATTTACTCTTCATCAATTTATTAATTCCCTGTTTACCAAACTGCATTACATTCTTCGTTCTTCAGCTTTTTTTCTTTTCAGTCAAAATACTTAGGAGTTTTAGAAAGTGTTTATAAAAAACTAAAAATATATATATATATGAACATAAAAAGATTGAATTTCAAATCTTGGGCTTCTAATAACCACCAAAATATTTGGCTGCTACTACCCACTCCCCTATAGAAAGCTGGCCCTTCTTGAGGCACCCGAGTGGCTTAATCGGTTAAGTGTCCGACTTCAGCCACAGGTCATGATCTCGCAGTTTGTGAATTCGAGCCCTGCATCGGGCTGTGTGCTGACAACTCAAAACCTGGAGCCTGTTTTAGATTCTGTGTCTCCCTGTCTCTCTCTGCCCCTCCCCCAATCGTGCGCGCGCGCGCGCGCGCGCGCTCTCTCTCTCTCTCTCTCACGCTCACTCTCTGTCTCAAAAATAAATAAACACACACACAAAAAAATTAGGAAGCTGGCCCTTCTTGAAAATGTCAGATGAAGCTGTAAACCCACCAATGGCTATTTTCTGCTTTCTGTATTTAGATAATCCAACTAAAGTGGGATATCTAATAGGTTGGGCATGTTAGACTAGTCAAGCAGATAGCTAAATCTCAATAGCTTAACCCAAACAGACATGCTTGGATAAGTATTCAGGTGAACAGAAAAATTTTACATCTAGCGGTCACTAAGGGACCAGGATCCATCTTACTGTTTCACCATCTAACAGAGCCATGTCATAATGGATATCCAGCCAGAGAAGTAGTACAAAGCAATCCTGTAGGAGACACACAACAGTTTATAATACCCTTAGTCTGAAAGTGACCCCATCACCTATTGGCAAGGCATAGTCACATAGACACACCTAGCTACAAGGGAGGTGCCTACTTACAAGCCTATTACTGGAGGAGAAAGCAGAATAGAATTCAGTGAACAGTGAGAGTTCAGTGACATGCTGTATGAAAGAGAGGCTGTATTTCAACCATAGTTTTGTTTACTCTAAAACAACAAGTTGCTAGTCTTCTGATACTTCCCCCTTTTTGCTGAGGAGTCCCTCGAGGAATAGTGATTTATTCTGCCTGTTTCCCAATGGATAGCATGTTATTTGGGAATGTGGGTGGCATGAGTTGTAGAAGGGGGATGATCTTTCTTAATGTAATTTTAAATAACAGATCCAATTTAGTACAGCACCAGCAAAGTATTCAATTAAAAACACATTATTAAAATAAAAATTAATGTTCTGTTGCTGAACTGCTTGGCTGAATGCACCAATTAAAATTTTTCTTATCTTCCCGACCTCCTCTCCAATCTCTTTGGGAAAGAAAAAAGACATACACACAAACACACACAAGTTTCTGACAAAATAAGTTGAGGTTAATGATGAACTCTGTCCCTGAAATATTGTAATCCTAAAATTACCTGCCGCATTTGAGACATGTTGTATGGCAAATTAGTGTTATTAAAAAAATAATAATAATGCAAATGTCCAGAAGAAATCCTCATGCAGGTGGGCCTTATTTCTGCTGAAGCACTGGTGTGGGTTCAGGCTCATGCTCACCTTGGTCTGTGGGTCATGTGCACCTTCCACAGTGCCTAACTGCCAAAGACCTTGTCCTTCTGTTTCTGGATTTTTCTTAACTTGCAAGGATTGCCCATGTAGTCAAGAGGGATGGTTAGATGCTAATTCTCAGGTGGTATTCTGCTGGTCCCAGTGCTTTGCATCCTTTTAGGGTTGTGACCTTAATCCACAGAATATGATCTGGGAGCCAGTGGATTGGTTTGTCCACGTAGAGCATGAAGATTAGTTCCATAATCAGTCTCAGGTCCAGCTACTTGACCATCTTCTTGATGAAGCCCAGCTTGGAGAACTCCAGGATCATGAGGTCCTCTGAGGGCTACTTAGTGCAGAGTTTTTCATGGGCTCAGGTGCAGTTGCCCATGATGCCATTCTTCAGATGCACATGATAAATGTCTCTGGACTGCACAGACATCATGAGGAAGTAGTGATGAAGGTTATGTTGTCATTTTCTTCTATTTAAACATTTTCTTCTCCACTTTTTGTTTGCAGAATATTTCATGTCCAGGGTCCCTTGATATCACTTACATATAAATTTGTTCTATCAAATCCCTTTCACCTCTCGAGAATTCTACTTCAGGGGGTGTTTTTTAGTATTCATCCACCTTGTGGCAGTTCCATTCTCCTCAATATCTATGTTTGGATATAATAAATAAGGAATTTTTGAAGCAACAAGTTTCCTGGTTTGATCCTGCTGACATTTCCCTTCTTCCTTTAATCTTTTATCTTTCAGTGAGTTAGTCTTTCTATTTTAATGGAAAATTCTATCAAATTTATTAGTAAAGGTTTATAATCACATCAACAGTGATTGTACCTCCACTAATGCACAGCAGTGGGAATATGCAAATGATCACAGCAATTGCTGTGGACTTGCAAACTAGTGTTCTCATTTGTGTGCATCTGCACTCGCTGATTGATACTTGTTTTGTGAATGTACTAAAGTCAAGTCTCCCTTGTTTTTGATTTTTTTTTTCAACGTTTATTTATTTTTGGGACAGAGAGAGACAGAGCATGAACGGGGGAGGGGCAGAGAGAGAGGGAGACACAGAATCGGAAACAGGCTCCAGACTCCGAGCCATCCGCCCAGAGCCCGACGCGGGGCTCGAACTCACGGACCGCGAGATCGTGACCCGGCTGAAGTCGGACGCTTAACCGACTGCGCCACCCAGGCGCCCCAAGTCTCTCTTGTTTTCAAAGAACTCTAGGCCTTCCAAAAAACCAGATGGCCAGGATGGTACCTGTTTGAACTGTTTTTAAAATGGAGTCATAACCTAAATTTCTAAAGCAATCCTATTTGTTATGCTTTGTGATGAGGAAACAGAAGGTGACAAGCTTGTTATTAATTTTTTTTTTAAATGGCAGTTGTAGACAACTCTCAGGAATGGTCTCTTGTCACATTGTAGTTTAGGAAATAAAAAGCAGTAAATTCATAAGAAATTCTGTCTGGAATGATCTAATGATATGTATAAAGACAGGTGCATACACAAACATATAGAACATATATACAAACTCAACATATACACACCTGGATACAAAGATACCTGCATAGAAAGACACACCCCACATCTTTTTTTTCCCAACTAGAAAAAAAAATTGGAAAGAAAATTAGAGCAAGAGGTCTTCAAGGGTAATTCTGAGGCTATAACTGGAGCTGCTTCATTTTTCCACACGTTTAAAATTGGGCAGATATCTCCTTGGTGGTAATTTTCATGGAGGCAACAGCTTGGAGAACATAGTCTTTCATTCTAGGAAACTTGTACATTTGGTGCAGAAGCAACATTCTGTTACAGGAAGCTACTGTGCCACCAGAGGCTAGGAATGCTTCCTGGTCAGTCTCCCTTTCACCACAGGACACATTTCAGTCCCTAAAACAGACTTACCCATCCTGAACCAATGTTATCAACAACATTCAGTTTCTCTATTTGGCCATTTGTAAAGCGTTAAATTATACCTTTCTCAGGAGGTGGCTCAATTATTTAACTGATAATTGAATTAGTGTAAGTGAATGCACCTTACTCTTATACTTGATGAAATTTAAAAAGAAAACACTTCATATGAAGGTTTTAGTTATGAAGATTTCACTTTTGAATATGGCTTATATTAGACTGTCGATAAACAATAACTCTTAAAAAAAAAAAGCTGTGTGAACAGATTGCTCTCCCAGTGGGAATGAACTCCAAATATCAGGGAGAGGGATGACCTAGAATCTTGAAAAGCTGAAACATTCCCAGGAGGAGGCAGATTCTCAGGTATTTTTCTTCTAGTTTTTGCATAGCTTCTCATCCCTGAGAAGTGCACAGTAATGAAATAGGTCAGCATGTGGAGAGATATTAAGGAGGTGTTATCTGCCCTGTGAATCATGTCATTCACTGCTTTATGTTCCCCTAGAAATGGAGGAGAAGCAAGAACTCATTAGAGCAAATCAGACCCAAATTTACAAGCATGTTTTGACTCTTTAGTGATGGATTCAGCCTGGAGCTCTGCTTTAGGTTGGCAGGATGATAGAGGTCAGGGCTGGGGAATGGCAAAGGGGAATCAGCATGCACCCTCTCCTTCTTATACATCATTTATAATTCACCCGTGCTTCAGATGTCTGTCTTTTCATTATACATAATACTGGGTAAGTGTTGTCTGGGATAAAATCAAGCCTGAGTTACAGGTACTGCTTTCAAGGAGCTGGCAGTCAGGAAGGGACAAGGAGAAATTTTAATGTCCACATTTAATTTGAAGGAATATGTGAGTTACGGTTGTGTATATATCTGACTCAGCCTCTGACATTTATCCAAGGGCTTACTATATGAGACACTGTGCCTGGATTATCTCATTTCATTCTTACAAAAATCCAGTGAGATGAATATATAGTAGGTTCCATTTTGCAGATAAGGAAGCTGAAGTAATATGTATAGGTCATATACTTTCTCCATATAATGTCTTCTAACTTTTACGTGTTTTGCACACATTTGTCAGAGAAACCTTGTTAATACTGCTTTGATCTGGATTTAACTCCTTACTGACTTTCCCACTCATCTCCAGCTGTTATGGATCTGAGACCCTAGTGTCAGAGTCCTACTTTGCTGCGTTATTGGCCTCTACTCTCTCACAGGAACCAACAGGTTTTGCCTTCTTCTATTGCTGTTTCTCCATATAACTTAAACTTTTAGGTGTCTGAGCCTTTGCTCCCACCTTGTGAATTCCTTGGTTTCTGTGGAATTAGGGTCTAGTCTTCCCGCTTCCACAGGGAGGAAAGGTCAGTCAGCATGGCTATGTCTCTGCCATGGCATTTGCCATTTGTTCAGCCTTTAT